TATTTATTTATTACAATCATGAGAATTTGGGGGAAATATGCTTATGGTTAAATTGTATTTTCTTCAAGTAAAAAATAATTGCATATTGTCATATTTCTTTTGATTTTGGGGTGATATATGGCCTGGACACGTTTTTTTGACCTGCTGTGTGAGATTCACCTGTTCATACATGCTAGAACTTACAGCAAACTCCTCACACATATTTAAAACGCATACCAACAGATATATAAATGATCTGTTTGTGTGTTGTTATTAAGAAAATTCAGACAAAAAGCATCTCTCTATCTGACTGTAATATTTGCAGAGGTAAAAAAAAACAAGACCGTTACATATCATGAGTACAATGTGAGATCTTGGCATGAATATATGTGAGCTGAAGGTCATGCCATTTGATGCATAAGGAAACGCACAAAAAAAAAAAAAAGAAAAAAAGGGAGGAAAATACCTGCTCTGCTCTTGGTTCTCCTGTGTGTCCTGGTCTGCGTTTTTCTCACGTTCCTAAGATGTTTCTCCATCTTAAGCAGACATCAATACGCTAAGAAATAGGGAAATGCCCACAATATGCAACTCGTCTTATAAGTGACACTCATAACAATTTTTTTTTGTCCTTCCTGTGTTTGTCTCACTCCTTCCCCTCACTGGTCACAAAACCGGTTTCCCAGCCAACATGAGAAGCAGTACACTGACTATGAGTGAATGTTCATTCAACAACAACATAGACACTATAAACATCAGCTTAGATGATGCACCATGCTACCAACACGTCCAGAGAAAGAAAAAAAAAGAAAAAATAAAAGCAACTGCACTTCAGTGTCCCATGATCCTTCAGAAATCATTCTAATACGCTGATTTGGTGCTCAAGAAACATTTCTTATTATTATGTTGAAGTAAAAAAAAGTCATTGTTTCCACAAAAAAATTAAGCAAAAACTGTTTTCAATATTGATAATAAAAAATAACCATTAATAATAACTGATCACCAGTAATAACTGACAACAACTAAATCAGCATATTACAATAATTTCTAAAGGATTATGTGACACTGAAGACTGGAGTAATGACTGCAAAAAATCAGCTTTGCCAACACAGGAGTAAATTACATCTTAAAATATATTAAAATAGAAAACAGCTATTTTAAATTGTAATACTATTGCTGTCTTTACTGTATTCTTTACCAAATAAATGCAACCTTGATGAGCATAAGAGACTTCTTCCAAAAATATTAATTATTCCAAACTTAGAACTAGTGTAATACTAGTAATAGTAAAAGTTGTCTTTCTTCTTCCTCAGCTTATATCTAATGTCTATATTTGATGATAAACACCTTAGACAAAGTTCATCCTTAAAAAGAGACACAGAGAGATTGACGTAAAGCGCTTGAACCGAGGTGCTAAAGCAGTCTTAGCCGTCTGTGATGGTTACTACATACAGTGGGTACGGAAAGTATTCAGACCCCCTTAAATTTTTCACTCTTTGTTATATTGCAGCCATTTGCTAAAATCATTTAAGTTAATTTTTTTTCCTCATTAATGTACACACAGCACCCCATATTGACAGAAAAACACAGAATTGTTGACATTTATGCAGATTTATTAAAAAAGAAAATCTGAAATATCACATGGTCCTAAGTATTCAGACCCTTTGCTCAGTATTTAGTAGAAGCACCCTTTTGAACTAATACAGCCATGAGTCTTTTTGGGAAAGACCCAACAAGTTTTTCACACCTGGATTTAGGGATCCTCTGCCATTCCTCCAGTGATCTTTGGGCTCTTCTCCCCCGATAGCTCAGTTTGGCCGGACGGCCAGCTCTAGGAAGGGTTCTGGTCGTCCCAAACGTCTTCCATTTAAGGAATGGAGGCCACTGTGCTCTTGGGAACCTTAAGTGCAGCAGAATTTTTTTTGTAATCTTGGCCAGATCTGTGCCTTGCCACAATTCTGTCTCTGAGCTCTTCAGGCAGTTCCTTTGACCTCATGATTCTCATTTGCTCTGACATGCACTGTGAGCTGTAAGGTCTTATATAGACAGGTGTGTGGCTTTCCTAATCAAGTTCAATCAGTATAATCAAACACAGCTGGACTCAAATGAAGGTGTAGAACCATCTCAAGGATGATCAGAAGAAATGGACAGCACCTGAGTTAAATATATGAGTGTCACAGCAAAGGGTCTGAATACTTAGGACCATGTGATATTTCAGTTTTTCTTTTTTAATAAATCTGCAAAAATGTCAACAATTCTGTGTTTTTCTGTCAATATGGGGTGCTGTGTGTACATTGAGGAAAATTTTTTTACTTAAATTATTTTAGCAAATGGCTGCAATATAACAAAGAGTGAAAAATTTAAGGGGGTCTGAATACTTTCCGTACCCACTGTATGTGTTATTTAGCACGTTAATGAGTCTTAACACTCCTGATCCTGTAAAGAGATACTTCTCTGCTTAATCTGATAGCTGTGTGGTGTTTGCTGGTGTCTGGATACTGATCACACACACACACAGACAGATCTCCACCTGCTTCCATGAAGCACCCAGACCTGTTTCCACATCCATCTGTTTCTGCATCTGTGTCTGCGTTCACATTAATGTGGCTGATTCACCCCAGGATTGCTCATCACTGTGACTGCAGCACAAAAAATAATATTTAAATATGTTATTGCTCTAGGTTTTACACAAAAGCACCGTTCAAATCCACCCACGTACAGACACACTGCTGCTTCAGTGTCTACAGAGTTAAATACGCATCTCCCTAGACAAAATACCACACATAAACATGCTTTAATATAAAAAACAGCAGGTTTCTATTCAATACTATATAGTTAAAAGACTAAACTGTACGGACTTCTGCAATAAACCTAAAGAGCTTCAAGAGCCACAGCCCTTCTCAAATGTGGTCAGCAGCGGCGATCTTTACATGTGAAGAAACACCACTGACCTGAGTCTTCGTCGGATTGGAGACAGCAGCTGTGTGTGTGAGATTTCCACTTCAGTTCAGTTCCGTTGTCCTTATCCAGAGAATCACGCCAGACTGAACAGCCCTCTCATGAACCCTCCCTCTCTAGCTGTGCCGCCACACACTCTGCATCCTCCATCCTTCCTCTCAATCTCTCTCTCTCTCCGTCTCTACACTTGCTTTACTGCTCCTCCTCCTCCTTCTATTCCCCCTCGCTTGCTTCCCCCGCACACTGTGTTTCCGCTCAGCCTCTGTTTTTCTCTCCACTGAGGATAATCACATTCCAGAGGAGGGACGGCATATGGCAGGGAAACGCCACACGCTCTTGTCTGTCCATCTTTATGTGCCAATGTGTGTGTGCTGCATGGACAATTACCCCTATTGTGTTGCTGTAGGGGTGGGCCAACAAATGGGGGGATTACTAGTTGTCGGGATAAAGGGGTGGGATGTGACTTAAAAGAAAAAACTAGAGGAATATTGAAGAGTGGTTATGATATTTGGAGAATGCCAGCTTTTCTGGCATTGGTTGGTTGGGTCACTGGAGTCCACGTATCGCTGTAATTCAGCGGAGGGGCAAAAATGAGGTTGATGCTATTGGAGGGCACGCACCGGTCATGTGACGAAAGGAAAGGGCCACATGGGAGACTGAGGAGGAATACAGATGAGTCAGTGATTTGTGGGGGAAGGGGAAGGGAGTGGATGGCACTGTCACCACCTACAATATTATCACACTTTCGGATGATAAAACAAAGCCAGTAGGGAAAATGTAACTCTTCTCTATACAAAAACAAAGTACTGTGGTAATAAAATGGGTTTTTGGAATGGGTAATCTTGACATAGGCCTACCATGTGAAGGTTTATGAATATGGTCATCATTTAGTATCATGATACACAGTATATATATCAAAGTGTAACACTGTATTATGTTACTATGATACGGCCACAGTACATTGTAAAAGGGATCTTCACTTACAGATATTAGAAATCTCAAGTTATTACGAACACAAAATTATGTATATTAAGGTTATATGATTCACGGCACTGTAACTAAACCAATCATTCAATTCATCTGTCATCTCATCTATCTATTGTGTTCATGGTATTGATACAGATAGGAAATGACTCGGGTCACTGAGTTGAGTCACTGAATCTGTAAACCGTACTACTGTACAGTGTTTGTGTTCTTAAAACGGGTGCATTATTATTGAGAAAAAAGCCCTTCCTGTCCTTGTTATAAACTCACAGCACCACCAAAATACCATCTCAGCGTGCATGATAACACAAACACGCTAGTTCAGATTTCCTGTAAAACAGCTTTTTGTGGGTGTAAGTCTTGAAAGCAGACGAAAATGTTCCTCATTGCTGTCCAACTTGGCTGTTAATATCAATAGTCACTTGAAGGGAAAACAGAGCTGACACTCCCTATGTAATTATTCTCCTCTTTAAGAAATACTGTAATTAATACACAAATCTAATTTGTACTAGTCTCACACACACACACACGCATACAATATACTAAACACTTGGAGAACAAGTAGCCAACACACAGACAAAGCAGCACATACTTGTCACTTATTTTGGGCACTGAGTTTTGTGAAGCATTCTTTTATACATGAACAGCAGTGTAGTGAGTTAGTAATTGAAGACTTCACAGGCTTCTGTACACGAGTGCCAAAGCACCACTCCCCCTGCTGGACAATCAGACTCATTTGTTTATTTTCATATTTTTTTAACAGTAATAAAAATAAACCGTATTTAAGTATTAATAAATTAAAGTAATAAGTATCAAAAAATTAAAGTATATGGACTATGCATATAAAAGTGAAGGAATAAATACATAAGAGCATATATATTATATATTAGAAGTATGGGAAGGATGTGATGCCATTATTTAGATGCATGAAAGCATTTAATACGTTTTTCAAAAGCAGAGAGCAGCCCTCCTTTCAGCAGAACATTTGCATTTGTGGTTGACCACACGTGTAAAAGCATTCTAATCACCCACTGAACAACTGTCACAATGTCAACAGAGCATACTGACCATCAATCTTTTTAAACAGCCTTGGATCCATTCTTTTCTCCAAAGTGTATGAGTTCTCTTGTCAAGCCTGCCAACAGGATGATTTAATATTTGATCTAAAGCTAAAAGGTATTTAAAAATCAGGACTGATATATGACTAGAAATGTCTTCAGTAAGAGAAAGAACTACTAATCCCAGGAACCACTGGGGATAATCAACAATGATGGTACAATATAAAACTTCATACATTTATTTTTTTTATCAACTACACTGCAAAATATTTAAATACAAACAAAATATTGAAACATATAATACTACCAAATTTGTTTGAAAGTCTAGCAAGTCTCTATTTACATAATTCACAATGCTTTATAAGTGTGGATATTTCCATTTTAACAGTCTTAAAGGAATAATTTAAAGGAATAGTTACCCGAAAATGCAAATTTGCTTAAAATTTACTCTCAGGCCATCCAAGATGTAGATGAGTTTGTTTTTTCATCGGAACAGATTTGGACAAATTTTGCATTGGCTCACAAGCCCACATTAATTGATCCTGTGCAGTGAATGGGTGCCGTCAAAGTGCAAATCCAAA